TGGTCATGAAGCGCAGCACCACGAGGTTGAGGAAGGCGCCGATGACCGTGAGGCCCGTGAGGATGTAGACGAAGCTGAAGGCCACGTACTGCGGCTGCGTCTGCAGCGCCTGGTCCTTCTGCAGCGCCACGTAGTCGCCGAAGCCGATGGTGGTGAGCGTGATGAAGCAGTAGTAGTAGGCCTGGAAGAAGGTCCAGTGCTCGTAGTAGGAGAAGGCGGCCGCGCCGATGCACAGCGTGCTGATGCACGAGAAGAAGCCGATGAGCACCATGTTGGCCATGGACACGTCGGCGCGCCGCATGCCCAGGCCCCGCTTGGCGCGGTGCAGCAGGAACTTCACGAAGGTGTTGATGCGCTCGCCCAGGCTCTGGAACATGACCAGCGTGAGCGGGATGCCCAGCAGCGCGTAGAACATGCAGAACACCTTGCCGCCATCCGTGCTGGGCGCTGCGTGGCCATAGCCTGGGGGGGAGGCGGGGCAGGGGGGGGAGAGGGAGGAGAGAAACAGTGGAAGAGGAGAGAAAGCAAGCTCTATGGGGTTGTGGATGCCAGACACCTGCCCCCTGCCTCCTGCCCCCCTCTCTGCCCTGCCTACACCGGCCCCACCTTGGAGAGGCCAGCAGTGAAGGAAGCTTCCCTCTGAGCCAACCATCAAATGGCTTTAAGTCACAGGTTCTGTCTGGAGCCCTGGAGGGGACAGGATCCTGGGTGGGAACTCAGAATACCTAGGCCCCAGCTCTGGCCCTGTTACTAGTGGCTGGGTGACCGTGGGCAAATGACTCCCACTTTCCGGACACGTTCCTTCATTTGTCAAATGAAATCTCCGGGTCCTGGCTCTGCTTCCTTTGCTGGGCTAAGATGTACATTACTTTATTAATGAAATGATTATAATAAAAACAATGCTGGCAGGCTTTCCAATTTTTCCTCCTTACAAAGCCTTATCGACACTTAACCGAATGTTGCTTCTTCCATGCAGTTGTTCTGGATTCTTCCCAGCTGAAGGTGACCTCTGCTTTGAGTGGCACAGAAGGTTCAGCTCAGAACGCCAGGGCCAATGTTACCAGCACCCCCTGACCCGTCCCCCAGGGTCCCCAACTACACAGATACAGGTAAACGCTAGCTTAGGGTATAGGGTAGGCACTGCAGTGCCTCTCTAGTTCATGCCCAGGGGATATGCCCACAGCACCTTTGACGAGGCAGGGCAGGATACCGCGTGCTTTGGTGTATGATCTGAATTCAAATCTTTATTCTTCCATGGACTGTGTGTGTGATTTTAAACCTCTCTGAGCCTTGGTTTCCCTATCTGTAAAATGGGGCTAATATGCAGGGCTTTTGGGGGTGAAATAAGTGAGAAAATGTGTTTAATGCCCTTAGCCCAGAGCCTAGTATGTATCAAATGCTCAAGAAGAGCTCGCTATGATGAGTAATGAATGAAGTGCCAGGCTGCCCTCACCTTCCACCTGGGCTGGGGGTCAGCTCAGGTCCAATAAAGTAGGCACCTGTCAGCCCAAGGCCATCTGAGTCTTCAAGCTCAGGGAGGTCTGGGGACAGCTGCTTGGGGCACGTGAGGCTGTGGGCCACCCTTAGAATGGGGTCCCCTGCCCCCCTGACCCCGGCATCTAGCTGAGGACTGTGTCACCCGTTGCCAGGGGCCTGGACAGCTGAGCTGGTGCGCCACCATGCCTAGCCTGTCCAGGTCGCGGCAGAGTGAGAACAGATTGTGCCCGCCAGCTCGGCCATGGCAGCCAGATCACAACTCACCTCGACAGCTGGGCAGGCCCCGCGCCAGAGCGGCTTCTCACCCTGTCCTTCCCTGTCCAGCAGGCCAGCACCACACAGGGTGTGGGGGAGGGCATGGCACTGTGGATGGGCTGGATCGGAGTTGGGTAGTGTGGGCCCAGCCCCAGCTTGACCACCTGGTGGCTGTGTGACGGTGGGCAAATCTACCCCCGCTCTGGACCTCTCTTACCTTCCTGCACTCTGGGGCTTAAGCTACAGCTGCTAATCCCTGCCCTGGCCACCTGGTAGAGCTGCCTTCAGGGGAAAAGGAGAGACTGGCTGTGAAAGCCCTTGGAACCTGTGGAGTTTGCCACAGAAGCAGCAGTGATGGGGCTCATAGGGGAAGTCCTGGAGGTGGGGGCAGTCTCTGTGGGGTCCGGCAGCCATATCCCCCCCATCAGGGAGAAGGACCGCTCTGGCCAGCACCAACACCTCAGCCTGTGTTTGTTCATAGGCTGTGTTTTCCCCTGGCCCACCAGCCTTCAGGAAGACCCAGCGCCCGCCCACCTGGCAGCCTCATTGCCCATGGTGGGTGGCCTACAAAACCCCCCAGCTTCAGGCAGAGCTCTCCCCCATCTGAACACAGCCCACGTCCCAGCAGACGTGACAGCCACCTCCCCCATGCATTTCTCACACCGCCCTCCTCCCGGCCTCTCCCTGCCCCATCCTGAGACCCTCAGGCTCTCCCTGTCTCCCAGCCCAGATGACAGCACCTTTCCCTGCCCACCTCCTGTTAAATGGAGTGATTTTCAAAGCAGGCGGCACATCCAGGCTCCACCAAAGGCTCTTACCAGGCTAGAGCTCAGGCCTCACTACAGCCACGGTCCTGTCCAGGGTGGCCCCAGCCTTACCTTTGGGGTCAGAGGCCATCGGGGCTTCCCCCCACTTCCCACCACAGGCTGAGGCTGAAGGTCTTATCTTTCAGGTACATTTTAAACTTTAATTCTCAAAAACTTCCTAAGGTCATTATCATGACTATCTCCATTGATGGAGAAATTAAGGCTGGAGAGGGCTTGTGAGTTGGCCAAGGCCACTAGGACTTTCTGACTCATCACTCATTCCAGTGGCTCGGAGCCAATGCATCACCCAGGAAGGGTGACTGGGATGGGAAGCTGGGGCCCCGAGAGGGGGGTGCTCCACTCGGTGCCTCACTCTCGGGCAGTGCCCGAGCCGGACATGGCAGAAACAGCCCCAGAAGCGTGATGCCCAGGGAATCACACGCTTCTCCAAGCATCGGGCCTCGGGTCAGCGTGCCTCTGCCCCTTTGCCTGGTCCACTGTCCCTGGGTGAAAGGGCCAGAGAGCTGTGAGGACCTGCTGACGTGGGCTCCACTTGGAGGGGTGCCCGCTGGGGTGGAGCCACTCCCAGGGGACCCTGGGAGGTCTGGGAAGTGATTGGGAGTTTGGCAAGGCTTGTCTGCCTGCCAGCAGGCCCACTGCCTGCCTGGTCCTTGCCCACATCAGGCTGGGGTTTACAAGGGGGAGAGGGGCAAACAGTAGCCCCCATCTTCTCCCTCCTGTCCAGCCCTGCATCCCCTGGTGATGGGTTCCATCTGTCCTTGTGTGTCACTGATACACACAGAGGCTGCCATCTGGGGCTCATTGTCTGAGGACCCTCCTTCATTGTATCCAGTGGACTGACCAGCCAGAACCCAGGCACCAACCATAAGACCCTAGCCGCTGTCTCTCAGAGCGCTAACCAGGGCTGTCCTCGCCCCTTGTCTTCCAGCCACCTGGCCTGAATCCACCATTGACGTAAGGTTCTAAGGGCCAGAGAGGCCCTGAGTGATCATAGAGCTCAGTCCTTCTATTGTACAGATGGGGGAAATGAAGGCCAGAGAGGAAACGTGACCTTCTCAAGGTCATGCAGCCAGTGAATGGCAGAGCCAGGACTGTAACCCAGGACACTCCATTCTAAACGCAGTGCTCGGTCCTCCGCCCTCTGGCTCAGCGTGACCGGGGTTGACCTGTTCATGCAACCAGGCCCAGCATGTCCTGCGTGGGAGCAGCTCAGCTAAGCGGTGGGCCTGGAACCCAGCTGGAGGCGTGGGATTCACCTGAGGAAGCCGGGTGGCTGGCCCAAAAAAATTAATCATGGGGCTGGATATCAATATTAATGATGAATATTATTACAGTTCTTCTGCTTTCCTCCCAGCATCACCAAGGAGCTCGGAGATTGGCTGAAGCGCTGCCTTCCAGGGAGATGCAGAGGGCTGGTGGTCCAGAGTACCTCTTAGTGGACTTTCTCTCCCTGTGGCCTAGTTCCTTCTGGTCAAAGCACAGATGACCAGTCTGAGCCTTGGTAATGGCTGTGGTTGGACTGGGCACAGTTGCCTGCTCCCCACTGACCTCATATGCCTGCCAGCCTGAGTGCCTGGCCTTGTACCCCTGGTCCAGCTGGCCACAGAGGCAGAACGCCGGCCACAGCCTTGGGTGGAGGAAAGAGCCTGGGGTCAGGAGGCAGGAGACCTGGGGATCTGACTTGACTCTGACCACAGCTAGCTTTGTGTCTTGGGCAAGTCCTTTTCCTTCTCTGGGCCTCAGTTTTCCTCATCTGTGACATGGGAGGATAGGGCAAGATAAAAGGTTTCCACCTTTTTTCCTTGCTATGGGTCCCTTTTATTATTTTTTCTGTTCGCTGACTTAGAGTGCAGATTTCGAAAGATTTTATTTATCAACAACACAGTATAATGTGTTGTTGATCAGAGGAGAACGGGCACTGAATAAATGTGTCATCAATAATTAATTATTTTCCCGTCAAAATGAATTAAGGACACATCTGCCAATCAAAACTTCAGCTTAGCAGCGGATAACCGATTTTATGAATCTGGATTAAGTTATTGTTTTCCTTTTGAAGTGCTGAAAATAGGTATTTCTGTTTTCTGCGGGCGATCTCTGCAGTTTAGTGGTGCAGATGAGAGCACAACCTTTGGAGCCAAACAGCTTTCAACTTTGGCCACGTGCCTCAGTTTCCACACCTGTGAAATGGGAATAGTGGTGGGCTCACCTCGTGGAACTGCTGCGGGGCTTTGATGAGTTACTAGACTTAAAATGCCCGGGATCCTGGGATCAATAAATCCGAATCTCTAGTATGAATGTATTGGGGAACATCAAGATTAGATGGATTTTAAAGTTCCTTTCAGCATCAACAGTCTATGGTCAGTATTTCCCGAAGTTAATTTCCTGAAGTACAGCCCCATGGACTGTGGATGACTGTTGGCTGAGAAGAGTTGTTTGGTTAAAGCCCATCGGAGGAAGGCTGAACGTAGCAGGAGTTGTTGTCATTTCATTTGTGTCAGCTTCATTGGAGCCGGCACGGGTTAACACGCGAGGTCCGTCAAAGTGGGGAGCACATGCTACATTCCCCACTTGTTGGACCTGCCGCTCCTCTTCTGAGAGTGCACCTTGCTGGACAAGTGCTCCCTAGAGCACAGTTTGGGAAACTCTCCTCTGTAGCATCAAGAACTCTAAGGTCCTTCTTCCAGGACCTCAGATTCTCTGATGTCCCTTCTCTGGCCGGCTGAGCCCTTCTATAGGTGAGGAACAAAGAGCCCTGGGCAATGCCTGGCTGGGTCTGTTTCCTGGTTCCCAAACACCTACTTATCTAATGTAAATAGGCGCTGGCTGGGCTAATGTTTGCCCTGAGGGAAGATGGATGGGTGGCCTGTGGCCTGAGGTGCCCAAAGGCTGTGAACTCCGGCTG